TTAGCACAGAAGCTGTGGCTAAATGTTTCCTCACAAAACATCTTATTGGTTTTGAAAAACAGGAAGTCACAAAAGAAAAACCAACATGTCTTTATAAAATGCCAAAATTCAGTCTCAAAAAAAGAGAAATAACCATATATGAGACTCTACTAAGCATATAAATTATCTCCCCAAAAGTTACTGTTTAAAAAAAGAAAACACTCTATGAGAATTTCTATTTAAGTTCCAGGAAAGGAAAACAGTGGTATTAATGAAGTAAGCAGAACAATAAAACTTTCCTAAAGACACATGCCAGATTCCAACAGTCCTCAAGGATTAGGTCCCTCAGTGATTTATGATCAAATATGAAAGGATCTCAATTATACGAGTAAAACACTGATGTTCTTCCCTTTGGACATGAAATGGTCACCGCAGAGTTTTCTGTGTACTTTTATAACTGAATTCATGTTTTATTCTTGCAAAAATTTTATTTCTGTTGAAGAAAAACATTCACTACAAGAAAGGTATTTAGGTCACTAGTGCATAGTCATTTTCTCTAGCTTTACATATTTCCATAAATATATACTGCCTTAGTTACTTCTCTATTACTTTGGCTTCCTCATATCCCAAAGGCATTATATATTGTGGTTAATAAGAAAAAAAAGTTAATGCATGCACTTGGCTGCCAATTGTCAAATGTACTTTTTGGACCAAAGAAAGAAGTAATGCAGACAAACTGAGCAGGAGAGAGAAATTTAAATAGAGAGGGAAAGACAGAAAAAACGTACCACATCTAGTGTCTGAATAAATAGTCCCCAAGCACTTCACAAATTATGGCAAGTAGAAGTAATATGCCAACATATACTGAATCCTCACTGTAAAAATTTAATACCAAGCTATATTAACATTTCAAATCAGAGTAGTTGGCACTTTTAACATAGTGGTTCTCAACCTTGGATGAATACTGAAATCACCAGTTTTTAGTTGTTGTGTTCTTTTTTTTTTGGCCACGCTGCGTGGCATGTAGGATCTTAGTTCCCCAACCAGGGATCGAACCCGTGCCCCCTGCAGTAGAAGCATGGAGTCTTAACCACTGGAACACCAGGTAAGTCCCCCCACCCTTGTTTTTTTTTAAAATCACCAGTTTTAAAGAATACTGATGCCCAGGTCCCATCCCCACAGATTCTTACTTAATTGGTCTGAAGTATGTCCAGAGCATGAAAAATTTTTAAGCTCCAAAAGTGATTCTTATGTGTAGCCATGATTGAGAACCACTAATTTAAAATGACATAAATTGAACAGTAATTTAGTTGTTGGGGTACATGGACACACACACCCCAGAGTTCAAAAACCTTGGTCATTCTTCTTAGAAGCAACCTCTTAATATCCTAGAATCATTAATTCTCTCACAAGCTCATCCAATGACAGCAGTGTAAAAATAACTTTGTCTTTGTTGCCTATACATGTTCTAAAAACTGGTAAGTTGATTTAGTAGAGTATTTCATAAATAACATTCACCTAGAAGCTGACAGAAGTACTAACCAAGGATCCAGGCCTCACAAAAACATTTCCGGTAGGATCTGGGTTGTATACTTATTTTACTGCCAGCCTAGGTTCTATTACAGTTTACTTTCTTTACAACTTTTCTTGATTTAAGAATATATTTGCGTTCAAAGGATTTTGTGGGTTAAAGTGCATTTTCAATCATTTTCACAGTGACCATTTTCTTCACAACTTTGAAGTATAAGTAATGTACAATAAACTGCATATCTAAAGCATGCAATTTCATAAGTTTTGACATACATATATTTACATCCATAAAACAGCTGCCACAATGAACATAAACATTTTTTTCACACTTAAAAATTTTCATGCACCCCTCTGTAATCTAATCTATCCCTCCTTCTACTCTTATGCCCAGGCATCTGCTTTCTGTCACTATAGATTACGTTGCATTTTCTAGGATTTTATATGAGTAGAATCATACATTATGTTAAAAAAAGTTTTTATCTGGCTTACTTCACTCAGCAAATGATTCTGAGATTCAACCATTTTGTTGCGTATATCAAAAGTTCTTTCCTTCTTATTGCTGAGTGATATTCCTATCAACGCTCATGATTACCGCACTGTATAACCAACATGTTTTATAACCAACATGTTTTCTTGGCATAGACTATTGTGAGAAGCTAACAAAAGCTCCTAGATGTTGGTATCAATGGTTTTTGGAAAAACTAAGTCTGGTGATCCCCATTTTATTTTATTTTTTTAAATTTTATTATTTATTTATTTGTTTATTTATTTATTTATGGTTGCATTGGGTCTTTGTTGCTGCACTCGGGCTTTCTCTAGTTGCAGAGAGCGGGGGCTACTCTTCGTTGCGGTGGATGGGCCTCTCACTGTGGTGGCTTCTCTTGTTGCAGAGCACAGACTCTAGGCATGCGGGCTTCAGTAGTTGTGGCTCGCGGGCTCTAGAGCACAGACTCAGTAGCTGTGGCGCATGGGCTTAGTTACTCCGCAGCATGTGGGATCTTCCCGGGCCAGGGCTCAAACCCGTGTCCCCTGCATTGGCAGGCAGATTCCCAACCACTGCGCCACCAGGGAAGCCCCGATCCCCATTTTAGTTCTCACTTTACCACTTATCAGCTATGTCTGAAGCAAGTCACTTCTCTGTCACATACACCTTCTCTGGAAAATGAGGATGTACCACCTCACCTATGTAATTCACCTTAGATGAGTACTTAAGGACTCTCTGACTTCTAAGACCTATTGATTCTATTGAAATAGGTAAACCTTCTAGAAAGATAGGAGTGCCCATCTGTTTACATACTGTCTGTGGCTGCTTTTGAGCTGCACCAAGAATGATGAGTACTTGTGACAGAAACTGTAGAGCTGTCAAGCATAAAATATCTGTCCTCTCAAAAAAAAGTTTACCAACTTGTTCTAAGTAATCATGAAATGTTCCTGAAGCTAGCTAAAAAATCATGTGTAGTGATGTTCAGATTTACTGATTGACAAAAACACATTCTACTGTTCTAAAAAAAAATGTTTTTTCTTGTTACTTTAGCTAAAAAAATGAAAGAAAAACCATAGGAACTTAAAAATAGATTTTTAAGGGCTTTTCTGGTGGCGCAGTGGTTGGGGGTCCACCTGCCGATGCGGGGGACGCGGGTTCGTGCCCCGGTCCAGGAGAGTCCCGCGTGCCGCGGGGTGGCTGCGCCCGTGGGCCGTGGCCGCTGGGCCTGCGCGTCCGGGGCCTGTGCTCCGCAACAGGAGAGGCCACGGCAGTGAGAGGCCCGCATACCACCAAAAAAAATAATAAGATTTTTAAAATTCCTGTGTCAGTACCCAATATATTCAGATGGTATATAAGTTACTAAAATCAAAAGGCACATTATAAACCCCAGTTCAAGAAATATTAGGAAAATATTGAGTTAAAGAAATACTATAATAGTTTTCTAGGAAAGTCAAAGTAGATATGTATGTTTTCATATTCCTGCCCAAATGATAAATACTTGACAAAATCACTACTGCCAGAATAAAAAATGAACAGCCTATAAAAATGGCTGGTGAAACTTAGATATCCAAGAATACTTTCTGCATCTTTCTGTCAGATTTTTGGTCTAGGAATAATAGGAGGAAGGCTGTATAACACAGTGGTTAAGAAAATGGACTTTAGGATCAGAGAAACCAAAGTCAGTAAAGGCTATTAGCACTACTGTAAAATAACTGAATAAAAGGTCCTCAAAATATATTTTGAAAAAGAACAATTTTTTAAAAGGAATTATCTTTTAAATTAAAATTAAAGTCATTAGGGAATGTACAAATTAGGGAAAGTACAAATACTGGAAAAAACCCTAAGCAACTCAAGAAGGGATTATGTGAGGAAACCTGCCAGCTAAAAAAATGCGCTCATTATTAGAAGAAAAGATATAAATTTCTATTATAGGATGTAATAGAACCACTTATTTGATTATTTATCTGAAAATAAATCTGGTTAGCTAATTCAGTGATCTGGGTTTTCTCTTCCTAATTACAAGTTGCTGCTTTTTTTTCCCCAAAAGACATATACCAGGTCATTAAAAGTCTGATCTGGCAGTCATCTGGAGTACAAACTGAAGACTTCAAAGAAAAACCATGTAGATGTCCGCTATAACGACATTGGAAACTGCAAGGAAAGCAGTACTGTTTTGTAAATAATCAAGATCAATTAAAAACAATTTGTAGGCTCAAGGACAGAAATAGTATACTTTAGGGTCTTTAGGAACAACACAATGTTGTAATTAAAATACATTGCTGGGACTTCCCTGGTGGTGCAGTGGTTAAGAGTCCACCTGCCAGTGCATGGGAACACAAGTTTGAGCCCTGGTCCAGGAAGATCCCACATGCCACAGAGCCACTGAGCCTGCGAGCCACAACTACTGAAGCCCGCATGCCTAGAGCCCGTGCTCCGCAACAAGAGAAGCCACCGCAATGAGAAGCCCGCACACCGCAACGAAGAGTAGCCCCCGCTCACCTCAATTAGAAAAAGCCCACACGCAGCAATGAAGAGCCAATGCAGCCAAAAATAAATAAATAAATGTATATTAAAAAAATACATTGCCTCCTATACCTGAATGCCTATAAAGATGAGTTTTGTGAGATAGGTTTGTTCTATGTTGTTTAATCTCAATTCCTCATCTTTACTTAGCGTCTTTATCATTACCTTGGAGATTCTGACCAAACGCCACGAACTCATATCTCACCAAAAGGGAACAGTGGCCAACTTCTGTGCAATCACCTTATCGACCCACTTTGTTCTTTTGAGATAGCTGCCGGAGGCTGGTTTTCAGACTCTATCCACAGTTGGGAATACCCAAACTTTCAGATGATTCTATCTTTGAAAAGGGATTCTGAAAACCAGAATCTTTTCCTGTTATCATTATCTCTGCAAACAAAGGCTGTTACATAAAATCATTCTGAATGTATGGCTAATACGTAATGGAAAAATACAGTTTACAAAGGGGAATTGAAATTGAACTCACCTGTCCACTTTTCCCTATTTCCAGCTCCATTATGGCAACAGGAGTGTGCATTTGAGCTGAGTGTCTTGACTGCGATTTCCCATCAACTCTCCAGCTCAAGCCCCGAAGCCCACTGTCCCACCGGCTCTGGTTCATGAGGCTCTCTCGGATTTTTGTCTTATGGCTCTTCCAGAATTTGGAAATGACAGCAGCTTGGTCAGATGTGATCCCGCCTTGCTTTTTGGTTTGAGCAGTCAAGAATGCCTCCAGCTGGTTGAAATCCATGTCTGCAGATGCAATAGACTATAATGACAGAAAAAATAACAGATATGAATTTGGTAGATAACTAGAAAAAGATGCATCTTAACTACAGATCACATTTTGAGTGATTCTTAATCACTGAATAAGCTTTCAAAAAGGGTCATCAAAAGACAGTAATGAGAATAAGTGCTTCATAAATACAAAAATATTCCCTTTGAAAATACTGAATATCAGAAAAGCTATTGTGAAAAATTCCATGTTGGGAATTCCCTGGCGATCCAGTGGACAGGACTCCACGCTCTCACTGCCTAGGGCCCAGGTTCAATCCACAGTAGGGGAACTAAGATCCCACAAGCCCCGTGATGTGGCCAACAAAAAAAAAAAATCCGTGTCACTCAAATTCTCTATCAATAACTAGAATCTATAAATATCCAGTTCCATGATGAGGAAATAATAAAATATAAAGTTAAAATGTAAAAATAATAAAACAAGAGAATAAAATGAATTAGTGCTCTGATGAAATCTTACATAATTTCACAGTGCCTTACAGCCAGGCTTGGTTTGATATACTATAACTGGGTAATGCCTTGTCCATACGAAGTACTAAGTAAATTTTGTTAAGTGAATGAATTAGTTTAGTTTTATAGCCCATCTTCAACCAAACAGCCAGTAATACTACAATATCCAATAATACTACTCTGAAACTGTATACTACTTTATTCTTTTCCATAAATTTTCAAACCTTAATTGCCATTGCTGTTCTGAGAACAGTAAGCAGCTAAACTGAAGCGGGAAATCATCAAAGGGCTGGGGCAATGGAGCCCTGAATAGGTCAGTGATGGTTAATGATTTGGTCTCCGAACAAGCTTTCCCCTGCCTGGACATGAGGATTGATATGAGCTCCAAACCAAACTATCATAGTACCTCCTTTCTCTGGGCACAATGATTGATCCAAATTAATCTCCCAATTTAGGAGGAGAAGTGGTCTTGTCTCCTGAGGTCATGGTACCAGAAGAACATGAGACTGGAGGGTTGCAGACAGACATCTTTGATCTTTTGGCAAAAGCCTGATTGCAATAAAATAGAATGAAGCCAAGTAGAGATGAGAGTGGGTTCTAATGGAGTGATACCCTGTTCTGTAATCCCCAAGGCCTTGGTTCCTGCAGACCTTTCTTCAACTCTGTATGTTATCTCGGCATCTTTTCCACCTGTAGGCACCAAAAACTCCCATTTACTATTCAAGATAGTTTAAGCTGTATTCCTATCATTTGGAACCAAGAGTCCTGCCTACACTTGAGCAGTAGCAGTGAGAACACAGGAATGTAAAGGTAGACAGTGTACAGGTGGAGTACAGGTAGAATAGGTGGAACGGAGGCTGAAAGACAAACATGCTGTCTTTCATTCCTCCATTAATATGAAAAAGTACAATAAATATTACAACATAGATTAAAGATATTTCACATTACAAGTCAACAAATGTTTACTGAATATCTGCCTATTTACCAGGTTTTGGGTAGGAGAACCCAAAATCTCTGGCTATGCCACTCAATAGAAACATTAATTTGTATAATATATTATAATTAAATAAAAGTATTTCTACCGGTACTTTGCTTCACACTATCGCATCACAACACAGGTGATGTGTATCATTCTTTTCCTCAAAGCATATTAAGAAATCTATTCTGGGGCTTCCCTGGTGGCGCAGTGGTTGAGAGTCCCCCTGCCAATGCAAGGGACACGGGTTCATGCCCTGGCCCGGGAAGAACCCACATGCCGCGGAGCAGCTAGGCCCGTGAGCCATGGCCGCTGAGCCTGCGCGTCTGGAGCCTGTGCTCCGCAACGGGAGAGGCCATAACAGTGAGGGGCCCACGTACCGCAAAAAAAAAAAAAAAAAATCTATTCTGATTTAACTTCACTTGTGACAGAAGTCATTTTGGTTGGGTTCCAGTCAATAATATCTTGAACTGGGGTCAATTCATCCAAAAAAGGTGTTACCGTCTCTGTAACATATTCTTCTTTTTACTTGCCCAACTCTTTAAAAATGTAAAAACCATTCTTAGCTAATGGGCTATACAAAAATAGTGTGTCCTGCAGGATGTAGTTTGCCAACCCCTGCTCAAGAACATCCTACAAAACAAACTGACACATGTCCTACATGACTTGGCAATGTCCCATCTAACATTATGTGGAACCTGTTTATAATTACCTGGGCCTAGAAATTAATCTTTTTCTTTTTACATAAAAAATTATTTTTTGGCACAGTTTTAATAAGCTCTAAATTTTCCAGGAATGCAACTAATACAGCTTGTATCAATATTTTGGTTTGGTCAGAACTTTACAAATAGGTTGTTGAGCATTTTGGAAAATCTCATTACCAGTGGCAATACCATTCACATTTTGATTTCTGAACTACCAAAACAACACATCTATATATGTCTGCATTTACTGCTGCACATTCACAGTGATTCTACATATAGGTGCAAGTATTTGATTAATTCATTACATGTTCTAATGCAGTAATGCTTCAACATTTACATTGTTAAATATATATTTTAAATTACTGTATTATTTTATTTTCCTTATAACTTTCCTTTATATTACATATATGTCATATTATTAGAAATTATACATGTTAATTTTATTATATGTGAATTATAATTATACATGCATTTCATTTAAGGTTAATGAAGGAACTGTATGGTCAGACCACTCAAGATGGGTGTTCTCTTGCTCTCTGTACATCCCCTGCCTGGCCAGTGCCTGCTTCACCCATACCCTACACTATGACTGACCTTCCTACAAACTTGCCCCAGACCCCAGCTAGTGACCGTTCTTATCAAAAGGGCAGTGAGGGGTGTGCCCCTCTGCTGGTTTCCCCAGTAACTAATGAGCCAACCTGACGAAATTCCCCCTATAACTGGTAATCTCCCTTCCACCCAGGAGCAAAGCCTGCCACCATGTCCTGCCTGCTGTCTGTCACACATGGTGGGGTGTTGCTCCAGGACCTTGCTTCAGATGTGTAAGCTCCTCCATCCATTAAATTAACCCTGATGTCTCTGTCACTGACTCTGAGCTCTTTCTTCGGTCTTGAAGCTGGGCAAGTGCAGGCCTTGTAGGCCTGCAGAGTGCAGCCCAACAGGGACACTGGAAAATATTTACTATAAAAAGGAAACCCTGGGTCTGATAGGTTTGCGAGCCACTGAGGATCAAGTCCAAACCCAACACAACAGGCCCTTCAAAATGCAAGCTGACTTATTATAAGCAGATAGGCTAGAGGGTCTTTGGAGAAAGAGAACCAAGAATGGCTCTCTTGACATAAGAGAACCTATTTAGGCCTAAGCCATTTTGTAATCTAAGCCTGGCTGCCATGCTTGCCCTTGAACAGATCTCAGTAATTAATGATCTTAAGGGAGGGAATGCAGAAACTAGGGAGGAGCAGTCAAGAAACAACAGTGCAGCCTTGGGGCAGGGTCCTGGTTCCTCAAGGGATATACATAATATAACTTTGAGTTCTGCAGAACTAAGGCCCCCACCAGGTGGAGGATGGAATGAAGATGTTGACAGTCTAGACTTTAATCAACTAAAGCTTGGACTCTTCCAACCTTCGTCCCAATTCTATGTTGAATTCTCCTCTGCTCAAGCCCCCTCATGAATATACATGTACCCTTAGTTTAAAACTTCACCAATTTTGCTGTTCAGGAAGACACTGCTTTGAGAAAGATCCCCAGTGTTCTCCTTACTTGCTGCAAGTAATAATCCTTCCTTCTCTCGATCTCTGGCTTGGTTGTGGCTATTGGCTCAATGCCCACCACTCTTGGGCAAACCCAGTTTTCTGGTAACATTATCCTCCTATCTTATTTTACTCCCTGCCTCCCAGACTTGCCACTCAAACAGCACCAACTTGTTCATAATGCCCCTGCTACCAATCCCAATATGCTAACTGCTTCTTTCTATGTGCCTCTGTTCACGCTATTCTAACTGCCTGAAATGTCCTTTCATCACCACCTTCACCGGATTAACTTCTATTCACCATTCAAGACTCAGTTCAAGCATGACTCCCCCAATATTCCTCCTCCCCTAGTAAGGTAAGGGTACCTCTCTATTCCAAAAATGCCCTAATATCTCTATCATAGCACTTACCTCAATGTAATGAAGCTTTCTGTTTACAAGTCTATTTCACCCAACAGACTTTAATCTTTGACAGAGTCTAATTTATATATCTCTGCAAATATAGGATCTAACACAACTTTTTGAATTTATGTTCTAACAAGCACAACTGTATCAACAACTTTTTAAACCAAAAGTAATAAATGTTGCAGATTAAGTCTAGAAGTATCTACAGTTACCAACTCCTTGCTCTACAAAATCTTACCATGTATATAACAAACTATAAACTCCTAGATAAAGTAGAAAATAATCCCATGGTGTTGATATCTGTTTGCCTAATCTAGCCTGGCAAATTAGCAAGGGGCTCAGAGCTAAAGGATATTTAGGCTAGGAAATCAGGAGAAAGGAAGAATCTGATTGAAAGATAAAAATGCAAACCATCATATTAATGTTATTGATAATGTTGTGCTGCTAGAATATAATCATAGAACAACCCCACATGATGTGGCTGCTGGTGGGCAGCTTGGAGAAACCACTGGTCACCTAGTAAACACAGATCAGCAATATGCTAAAAATGTATTTGACAGAAATATGATGATCCAATTACAACTTTTAAATGTTAAAAATTAATAATTATCAGTTTGAAACTGAAATTTCAAATGAACAAAAAAAGTGAGGTAGTAAGAGACAGGAAAACAGAAGAAATGTAAAAACATGCCAAGCTGTTCTATTTCAGAGAAAAGAAACAGACTGATAGGTATGCAGTTCCAATCAAAATCCTAGTAAGATTTTTTGTAGGTATAGGCAAAATTATTGTACAATTTAAATGGAAAGGCAAAGGAAGTGGAGTAGATAAAACAATTTTGAATAAGAACAATAAAGTGGGAGGAATTGGTCTTCCGCATTTCAAGATTTAATTCACCGCTACAGTAATC